TGCCCATGATATAATTATTCGTTAGTTGATTTTATTCAACTAAATCCTGGCCACGATTTAGTAATATAGTATGCACAATTTAGGAAAACGAGAAAACAAATTCATGCTCACGATTTAATTTTATTTATTTATTTTGTATGTCACGTGCGGGGCTCCGTATGCTTTAAGCAGGGCTTAAAAACTAGAAGAAAAAAATCGGTTAACTCCGTGCAGAATCGGCATTTTAACGGTTTCTGTTCATGCGTTTCTCTGTATTATTACTGTTCTGAAACCGGTTTGAGTAGAAAAAATGGTTAGCGTTATTTTTTTTTAACTTTGCCAATACTACTAGCCTACTACTAATAATAAAGTACACAGCGTTTTCTTAAGGCTACTCAAAAAGAAAAAGGAGAAAAAAAAAAAACATCTCGTAGCCTAAATTGTGCTTATTCATAGCCAGCATCATCTTTCCTAGATTTTGGCCAAATGTTTTAAACGAAAAAAACTGTCAACGCTTTAAAGTCATTAAAGTATTTTTTTCAAGATATTTAAAATGTTTGCTGCATTGTTAAAAAAAACGCTACTTGTATAAAATTGCGTTTTGAGAGGGAAAAACATTCGTCGCATTTTATTGTTACATTCAGAAATAATGTAGACTGAAATACCAGTAAATCAAAATGTTTACAAACATTATAAACACAGGCTATTTTATTCCCTTCCCTCCACAACAACTCCTCTACAGTTAACAGTATTTAGGCTATATAAACGGCAAGCCAAAAACAAATTAATTTAAAGGGAAATTGAAGCCATACCTCTCTCGTTCGGCACGAATCCAAATGTTTCCATATTCGCTACATATTTGGATGCTAAAACAATATTTATAGGTTTTACACTTAACTCGCATTATCGATGTAAATCATCACCCTTCACAAAGGCTATAACCGCACAGGGAGGCGCTGGTCACAAACACAACAACTGACTATTTCATTTGAGCATTGTAACTTTTATATGTTTCTTTATGTATTTTATTTTGATAATGAACAGGCTGCGATGTCAAGGTAGCAAAAATTTTGTGTGCGCGCGTGAGGCGCCAGCGCGATCACTGCATTGTTTTTCCAACGCTGGTTGGTCATACAAGCAAGACATCATTCATCACTGTAAAGCCTTGGCAAAATAATAATAACAATAATAAAAGAAAGAAAGAAAGAAAGAAAGTAAAAGATAACTGTAAAGCTTTTGCAAAATAGAGAACGGCTTTCCGCCTGGTTTTCCTTTACGTGAACTTTGGATCGCGTCACAATGAATAGAAACTCAGCACAATTTGGTTCCCCTTTCGTTTTGTTAATCTGTTAATGATTTAAGTGAAATATATTTCTATGTTTTTGTGCCATGGTCCGCTGCTGCGCTTCTCTGACGACCTGTTTCAATGGCAAACGCTTAGCGGTTCACACGACTTGTCACCAGATTTTAATCGTTCGTTCTCGAAATTGAAAGTGATCAAGGCTGCGTTTCCCGATAACGTTGTCTCTTAGCTCGCTACGAAGACTCTAAAGGTATATCTTAACTAAAGGTATACCTGTTCTAGGCGTGTTCCCCGAACTATACCTTAGGATGTTGCTTAAGCTAAACCTTCTTACGTGAGACGTTAGCAGGTACTGTCCATGGCGGTGGTGCTGAATAGGTTGATATCGATGGCTCGAGAATCGATTGTTCAATACAGGAGCTCTTTCACTGCGTTATAGAGCGGGTAAAGTGATGTTCATTATAAAGAAACACTTTAGAAATATTAGAAATTGCATTTATCGGGGCTCACTGCATTTATAAAATAATCCAAATTTCAAACTAAATGCAACCTTGGATATCGCACACACACACACACACACACATACAGTATATATATGTGTGTGTGTGTGTGTGTGTGTGTGTGGAATGACTACAGAAGGTATACTTAACTAAGAACGTTTCGGGAAACACGTATTAACGTAAAGGTACAACTTAAGGTATAACTTACGAACGACGTAGCGTTAAGAAGGTTTCGGGAAACGCAGCCCAAGACATTTCACCGGAGCACAATGTTACAAGAAAGAAGACTGTCCACGGCTGCGTTTCTCGATAACGATTGATCTTAGAGTTTAAGAGCGTTTTCTACGAGTCATTTTACGATCGTTCGTTATTGTTTCACGTGCGTTTCCCAAAAATGCACTTAAAGGGGTCATATGATGCGATTTCAAGTTTTCCTTTGTCTTTGGCGTGT